CTCTCTCTCTGTGGCTGAAGAGACAGCAGGGTGCTGGGAACTCAGTCCTTTAGTTTTGGTTGGAACTAGCCTTTACTGGTTGTACCGTCTCTTCAGCCCTGAAATCTCTTCTTAATAAACCCGACTCTATCGTTAGAAAAATAAAAAAAGAAGGAACAACTATCCTAAAGCAAAAGCATTCACCTGAGGCAGAGCTGCTGTTAGGCTTTTCCTTGGTGAGCAGGAAGTGTTCTCGGGAGTGTGACTTCACCTAGCCCATCAGTCGTGGCCAGCTGTCCTCGGTAGGCATGCACCCCACCTTTAAACTACAGCCATGGCTTTAGACTCTTCCTTATCCACCAGTGTCTGGTACCTCCCTGGCTCTGAGAACCACCCAATGACAGAGAAGAGTGGGCAAAGTCCTGTTTTCACTGGAATAGGTGAGGACAGAAGGGGCTAAAACTTCCTATCTTGAGTGCCATGTACACCATTCCATGCTGACCTAAGAAAGCTTCTTTTGCTTTCTATGTTGGTATTTGTGGCCATGGCCTCTCTGGTTCTGGCCATGGAAGCTGGGATGCTACCACCGGCCTATACCTGTAGCCCCAGATACTTTGTTCTCACTGTCATCTGCACTTAAGACTACGGAGGAAGCATACATTTAACAGGCTCTTTCAAATGGTGTTCCTGCCACCACTCAAGCTAAATGGAAAGGGGTTTCTGTTTTCCAGCTTCTTTATTACCCTTCATCGTGGCATGGACTTGCTCATCCGTCTCCCCTAGGCCCAGCATTATTGATGTTTTGGAAACAACGTCAGGCTGGACCTCCTTGGCATGTTTCAGTACACGAAGAGACTGGTCAAAATTGGCCCGGGGATCACGAACTTTCCTGGAAAACAGGGTAACTCTCAGTGACAAAACAAGTTTAATACGCACATAGTTACGCAAGCAAGCTGAAAAACCAGAAAGCCCATTCTAGAACAGTGGTTCTCAACCTTTCACAGGGGTCTCATGAGACCTTTGGAAAACAGATATTTACATCACTATTCATAACAGTAGCAAAATTAGTTATGAAGTAGCAATAAAAATAAATTCATGAGCTGGGCATGCTGGCATATGCCTTTAATCCCAGCACTCAGGGCGGCAGAGGCAGGTGGATTGCTGTGAATTCAAGGCCAGCTTGGTCCACAAAGTGAGTCCAGGACAGCCAAGGCTACACTGAGAAATCCTGTCCTGAAACACCAAAAATAAATAACTAAAATAGTAACTTATGGTTGGGGCCATCAGCACAGGAGGAACTGTGTTACAGGGTTGTAGCGTTAAGAAGGTTGAGAGCCACTGCTCTAGAGCACACGGCCCACAGTCACTGAGTGGAAGTGTCAATGGTACATTTGTGCACAAGAAAAGGAGGCCTCACTGGGCTTCCTAGGTCTGTCAACTTTTCAGGCCTCTCAAGCCTGGGACTGGGAATACCAGACCAGAAGTCACCCGATTTATATACAGAGAAATTAGAATTCTGATGTTCAAATTTATAATGGCTTCTAAGCAAGAAAAGAAACCGGGCAGAAGACAAATCCCACTCTAAAGACAAAACCTACCTGGAAACTCACTTAGGGCTAGGGAGAAGGGGAGCTGAAACATGTGCATTTCTTTCCTGCAGGTTAGACTGCCCTCTGCTGACAAGTAATAATACTGCAGGCTCGGAGGAAAAGCATTCTGGAATTTTCACTGGAGGGATGAATCTGAAGTGAAACCAGGGAGACTGGCGCCCCCTGCTGGCGACATCGCCACAGGGTTTGTACAGGCTGGTACAATGCTCACAGCACTGCAGCTTAACTGGGAAGAAAGGCAGAGGCTCGAAGGAACTAGTGTAAGGTCAGCATTTAGTTGAATTCTGATCCAGCCTTATGGTCTGCATTTTTGTTTTGTCTGGCGGGGGACTGAAGAGATGGCTCAGCAGTTAAGAGAACTGGCTGTTATTCCAGAGGATTTTGGTTCAATTTTCAGGACCCACAAGGGGCTAACAACTGTAACTCTTCCCAGGGGACTGACATCCTCTTCTGTCCTCCAGCCTCCAAGGGATCTACACACACACACACACACACACACACACACACACACACACACACACA